CCAGAACCATTGAACGTATTAATATAATTGACAACGTATAATCCACTGTCGATTGTCGATCGACAACGAGAATTATAGACGTTTTCGAGTTGTTTGGGAGTGCTTATTGAGAATGTGGCATTAATTTCTAAATCCAAGATGTTTGACAAGAATTTTCAAAAATGTATTTTTGGTAATCCTTATGAGAATGGCATTTATATCCGAATACACGATGGCTAACACGACCTTTCCAAATGCAAGATGGCGGGCACGATTTCTCTAATAATGGCAAGTTGTGTATCGTTTCCGAGATATTTGGGGGTGTTCATTACGAATGTAGCACTTGTTTATAAATCCAAGAAGGCGGACACGATTTTTCAAAATTTTTCAAGGCAAGGCCGGTCCCATATGCAATAAAAGAGAAGGTGGAGGCAGAATTATTACGCCTTGAAAGATTAGGAATATTAGTGCCAGTATCGTATTCAAAATACGGAACTCCAATCGTCCCGGTGCTAAAGGCAGATGGCAGTACACGAATTTGTGGTGACTACGCATTAACAGTGAACAAAGATATTCCTGTAGATCGATACCCCCTACTGCGAATCGAGGAGGTATTTGCAAAATTACGTGGTGGAGAACATTATACAAAGATATATTTAAAAATGGCGTACAACCAATTAGAATTGACGGACAATGACGGTTCCCAAGAAATCACTACAATTAGTACGAACAAGGGCGTTGTTAAATATTATTAGGAAACCTTACTATTAGGTATCGAAGGTGTTTGTGTATTTCCTGGACGATATTTGCATTACGGGAGCCACTAAGGAAATTCACATGGAGCGATTGGAATTAGTTTTGCAAAGATTGCAACGGCGGGACTTAGACTTCAAAAATCTAAGTGTGATTTTTTCTGTGAGAGCGTTAATTATTTAGGTGACGTGATCGACAACGATGGTTTACGAACGAGCCCTAAGAAAGTGGAAGCAACAGTTGATGCCCCAAAGTCGACCAACGTCATGGAGGTAAAACGATTTTTAGGTATGGTAAATTATTACCGAAAGTTCATACATTTGTTGCGGACACCGGGTTGTGATTCCGGCGTCATTAAGGGAACGACTTCTATAAGAAGTACGTAAGAGACATTTCGGCGTAGTTAAAACTAAAAGTATAGCTCGGGGCCGGTCCTGGCCAAAAATCGAACGCTGAGTGGGCGCATGCAGCACTTGCATCGTATTACGCCTCGCACCACCACGTGCAACCCCCGCGCCCTGGTCGCGCCCCTCTGCCGCTTGGCATCGTATACACCTAGACTACCTATCTGTAGGACAATATGTGTATTTAGTGGTGACCGATGCCTATAGCAAATGGCTTGAATGCCCATATTTGTTATCTAGGCATGGTTTTCCATAGAGTTATAGTTTCCGATAATGATGTAAAAATCAAAACGGCGGAATTCCATAGATTCTGTATGGCGAACGGAATTAAACACGTGACCTCGCCTATTTGTCACCCGGCCAGTAATGGTCAGGCTGAAAACCGTTCGAACGTGCAAAAAGATGTTAAAATGTATTCACAGGACGGGTTCCAGTCGTGATATTCATGAGCGGCTTCTAGAGTAGTTATTTCACTATCGCAACACCCAGCATTGTTCGACTGGTTCAACACCAGCCGAGTTAATGTACGAGCGTGAGTGCAGAGCGCGACAACAGCGTAAGTCATAATCTCAACAATGAAAATGACAACAAAGGGAGGGAATCGACTAGTCCAAGCATAGAAATAAACGGAGAAAAGTTAGGCCTTGTTAATAAAGCAGTCTTCTTGGGAGTGACCTTAGATAGTAAACTTCAATGGTTTCCACATATATCGTCCCTGGCCAGCAGATTAAGCTCCACTGCATACGCAGTCCGCAGAATACGTGAGCTTACCGATGTTAGTACTGCTAGACTAGTTTACTTTAGTTACTTCCACAGTATAATGTCCTACGGGATTCTCATGGGGGTAAAGCGGCAGATATTCAAATCATATTTGTATTGCAAAAACGAGCGATTCGTTCTGTGTACCGTCTAGGCTCTCGGGTTTCTCTCAGAGAAAAGTTTAAGGAGACTGGTATCATGACTGTAGCATCACAGTACATTTACTCAAATATTTTATATGCTCGTAAAAATATACATAATTTCAATAAGAAAAAAGATATCCATAATATTAACCTTAGAGCTAAGTCCAAACTCATGGTACCACGATTTCGTTTAACCAAGGTAAACAACTCTTTTATGGGGAACTGTATACGTTTTTACAATAAGATTCCGGAGCATATATTATGTTTATCATTTCCTAAGTTAAACACTACATTAAAAATATTTTGATCGAAAAATCATATTACAGAATTGAAGACTACGTGTTAGATAAAGATGTATGGAAAGACGACACGGCTCCAGAATCCACACAAATTTGATTCAAAGTGTATTCCATAGCATTTAAGTTTATTTGAAAAGAGCAATCCCTAGAGTTTCTTGATCGTTCTTCTCAGGGAGGTCATCGTAGTGAACGAGCAGTAGCTTAAATGTGACTTTTTCAAGTGTAAATTTGTTTTTCCTATGGAATAAATAATCTTTGACTTTGACTTTGACTTTGACTTTGAATTAAGAATCGGTGATAAAGTCTGGCTCAGCTTTTTATAGGTAGAAAACCAGTGTGGGTTTTAGGAGTAGTGAATAAAACAATAGGACGGCGTATGTACCTGGTAACCATTGTAAAAAGCAACGAATCCGTAAAAAGATCAACATATATGTAGATCAATTGCTAAAATTCACGGACAATGTAACCTACCTAAAAACGGACATCAGTAAACCCATCTCAGACAATCAATCAGGTGTCAGTTCACCAAGATCGCACTGATTACCATGATCACGACATCGTCGAGGATGATTTTACTGATGCAACGAGTGACGGGGAAGGAGAGGACAGCTTTACGGAGAGTGAGAATTGCCGACTCAGGTTACCGGTGGCTTCTCCCGCGCGGAATGTAGCGCTGCCTGAAACAAGCGCTCCTTCTAAGAGCGCACCCTCGGTGGCCTCGTCGGCCCTTCACAAATCTCCGCGTGGATTACGCCCTAGAAATAATGTTTCATTGAAACGATACTTTTAAGTATCGCTGCTGTTGTTTGCTGTCGTTGTTATTTACGTTCAATATTATTTTATGTCTATTGTACCAGGTTTCCAAAGTAAGGTGGAAGGAATGATGTGTATTATAAGTTGTTTTCGACGCACCCTCCAAATGGTCAGTAATAAAGCGACCGTCAAACAGTGGATACGCGTTTCATTAGTTATCGCACATCCCCGAACTTATCATTACCACAACAATAAAAATGTCACAACAAATAGTCACAAGTTACAAATTAAATTTGCCAAGAATTATTAAATGTTATATAATGTTAGAGTTGTCAGTGGGGAAAAATCGAAAACGAGTGGATGGCTTTAAGGAACTGAGAATGCCTAGCAATGTCTCTTGTTTACTCAAAATTAAAAATAAAATTATTACCAATAAATACGACCCAAAAATGGTAAAATGAGCACAGTTGGCATTTAAGATGACGTTACGTATTTTCGATTCCCGTGTTTGACTTAAATCAATGTAGTGCTATCTCTTTTGGCTTACGACATATAACATATCCTTTGGTTTCCATAGTCTAAGAAACAATTAGTCTTTCAACCCTCCCTCTACGTTCAACCCTTAGAGGATGGTAAAAAAAGGTTCAACCCCCTGACGTTGGCGAAATCGTCGCGCAAAACGACGGAACCACAGATACAATAGTTGAAGTTGAAGTATGGTCGAACTAGTTGATGCGACTCGCAGGTAGTTTAATAATTCGTTTCTCTAATAATTATTAAGCTTCACGTAATAATATTAACCAAGGTTTATCCTTTCTTAGAGCGCATTACGTAAACAATACATCGAATTACGAACCATTACGTTTAAAGTGATGACTGGCTCCGACATATATACAGGGTGACCCACGGCTGTGCCACACGGAGGGAAAGTACCTTAAATACCGTAGATAGAACATTTTACTCAAAGGAGACTTAATTTTGTTTTTAATATATCAAAGACAACATCGAGCTTCATAATCTCCGGTAGGTACAACGTGTGGTAACCTAGATAATAACGCACGCACACGGGACACAAACACATCGGCGAGCTCCGCGCTTTGTTCAGACGAATAAATGTCGCGGAAAATCTTCGTTCTTCTTCAACAACGTCTCTAGTATCATTCGGTTCATTTCTGCGGTACTTGATGTAATGCTCTGTACGAGTGTCGATAATGCTTGACGAATCCAGGGTGACCGGAAGATGATACAGTGTTGTGTTTTTCATCGACAGTATTTTATCTAAGACTCTCGTCATGGTCTGTGTTTTTCGACAGACGTGGCACATTTCTGTATAGCTGGCCGTGCAATGAAGTAAAGGCGTCACTGTGAATTTTTTCGAGAGCTCGAAAGTTTCTAGTTGGGCGCCATTGTAAAACTCCAATAATGTTGAAAATACTTGTAATATTCAAATTATTACACAATTTTATTGTGACACATATGTTTATAACAAAAAAACTGCGAAGCGAGCGGGAATGGTGGGCGTCCTTCGGAGGTGTCGGTCTTTACGCGGGTTTTTAAAATAAAAATGTACTCTTTTTTTTCAGTAACATTATTTAAGGTATTTTCCCTCCGTATGGCATAGTCGTGTGACGCCCTATATATAGGTATAAGTTGCCTACAATTTGGATTTAACGACCTCAGTGTAGTCCAACGGTGTATACTAAAGGCACGGGGTGAGGCAGTTCCAGGTTCGATTCTCTGTAATAACCAATTTAGAAATTGGACTTTTCTAAATTGGTTCTGGTCTGAGAATGAATTCCGTTGCTCCGGTACTCATAGTACGTGTACTTGAATTCCCTGGATTGTGAGACCACGTCATCGGTGCGATTGTCGGGCGCATTATTATTATTACTCTATCGATCTAATCTCACCTGCGCCATCGAACATGCACTTCACTAAGTATTTGGGACCGTAAGTACCACGAAGTCAGATGACGGCAAGCGCCGCGCGGCCGCGCCAGCCTTGGCGGGGGACTTACCAGTTTTCAACCATCCCATCAATTTGGGAACCGAGTTCTGTTTTTTGGCTTTCATCGTGTTAAATATTTGTTCCATTATGATTATGAACAATAAAAAATTATTACAAGAATAAATGAAACATTGATTTATATTTTTATTACAAATTACACATTTGGGATTTTGATGTTTAGGTCAAAACGAATTTTTACAATCTATACGGCCATGTTACAAATCTAGGACCTTGCATGACTAAATTGAACAGCATAACGAATTTACATCCACCACTACCGGCCACAGGATTCCAATTAATTGTTTCGGCCATATGTATTCGGTAAATGCAATCCAGTGCCGACAATAATATGCTCGTACTGATTACAACGGCTTATCCTCAGTTGTCATCGCTGGCTTTGTTCCCACTGGCAACATGGGAAAAAAATCCCATATGTTACCAGCTGGTGACAAAATGGGATAAAAGGATGTTGTTACCACTGGCGACAAATGGAGTTTAAGATATCCCAGTAGTTATGGTAAAAAAAACAAATGGAATAAAAAATCCCAATTAATGTTTAATTATTGCCGCCATCGACAATTATTCAGAAAGTCTGGACACTGTAAATATAAAACAACAGTTAAACTCTGAATTTTATTTTATTCTCTTTCGATAGCGGCAATAAACAAACAGTAATTTACGGTTGACATTGGTGGAATCCTTGATTTTGTCTAAATTTAACTATGCAGATACAGTTTATAGTTCTCGTGTGCTGTGTAAAACTACAGCGTTAATACAGCGAGTTCAAAATGCATGTCTAAGATTTCGTTATAAAAAATACCCAATACATCCTAGAAGTCACCATCACCATTTATAAATAAAAATAAACTATTAAATATGTCTCCACGTCGGTATATACATTTTGCCGCTCTACTCTTAGATATAATAGAACATAAAAAACCGTTTTACCTATATAAAAGTTTAATTATGGTCTTCCCAATTACGTCTTTGTCGGCTAACTGTCCAGTCCACAGAACTGCACATTTCAAGGGAGTTTTAGGTACGCCGGCCGCGGCGAAAATCTGGAACGATTTGCCTCCTCCTATTCGCGATGTGGCTTCTTTATCTGGCTTTCGCAAAAGAATTAAAGAGTTTCCGCGAACGGGCCAAATGAACGGCGTCAATTAATGAAGCTACTTGTTAATTTATTTTATTATTATTATGACTCATGTTATTCTAAATTGGGTATTGTTATTTTAAATGTTTAGGTTACGGATCAACTTGTTATTCTTTTTAGTGTTTGTCAAATAGGCATAGCCATCTTACCTCTTCTCAGGCTCCAGCAGAAAATCAGCGTTGTAGCTCTGCCCAGCATTAAGCTGAGCTGGCTAGCCTTTTCGGCTTTTATGTATTTAGTAATATATATTTTTTCTTTTTTTAAATTGTTTGTTCTAAATGGAGATTAATATTATTATTATTTTTTGTATATTTTTATTATTATCTTTTTATGCCATTTGTCACCATCTGGTAAGTAACATGGGTTTTTTTTCCATTTGTCGCCAGTGGTGATTAGTGAGAATTCCAACGCGTGTTCCGTTATACGCTTGTGTTGATCTTCTGCTACAGTTGTCCTCACGATGTGTTCCTTCAACGTTACAGCAATTTATATGTAACAGGGAAAATAAAACAAAATTATAGGAAACATCAGCGCCAGCGACCCACCCCCGTACTAAGTTAGTGTTCAGGGTGGCGAGCAGCACGTGCAGTTACCCACTCAAGGGGCAGTTGCAACTGCCTATATTTACACAATGCATGAAACCAACAGATGTAAACGTACAAATATTCTATACTGTTTATTGCGTACAATAACACCAAGACATCCACAGGGCGCTAAAATTTGTGGTCGGCGCCTTGCCGCACGGAACGGCTCTTCATGGAGTGCCCCACCGCCGACATGATGGCCCTCTTCAGGAGGTCGAAGCCTGAAAAGATCGTTGCAAACAAAGAATCCCTGAAGTATTCGTTTCGGTAACATTTAATATTTACTCGGCGTCCAAAATAGACAACCCACCTAAAAATTTTATAAGATAATGATAATTCTTGCCCTGGTCGTTGGCGATCTTGACCAGCACCTGGTTAAAAGCGCTCCAGCTGACGTTCTGCGGGTTGTCTCCAGTCTCCAGGAAGTACGTCTTGACTCGGTCTTCGTCGTCGGTGCTTGTTATTATATTGGCTAAACATTTTCAAAAGGTTGAGCAAAAGACTGAAGTACGGCAGCCACCAGTTTACTGGGGCTTGGAGAACAAGGAAATGACGCGCCCTGATGTTAAAAACGATTGTGAAAGATAGTGCGCTTGTCCTTAACTTTATAATAAGAAGAATTATTGTTTTCATTTGTTATAAACCAATTTTTTCTAAAACACATGCCAATTAATTCAGTGAAAGAACCATAAACACTGGTAATATTTGAAAAAATTGCGCACGTACAGACACTGTGGGAAACACAGGCCTTCCTTCCCGTCATGAAGTCTATTTAAAATGAAGTTGTTTTCGGGGTAGAAAAAAAGGACCAGGAGAAAGAACACAAAAATAAATGTTCAATGATATATATACAGTTTGAAACTGACGACCGAACGAATCCAAACGATTTATTTCTTTGACTGGCGTCTCCTGCGAGATCAGATAATAATTATCGGTATGATAGCAACGTTATGATATTACATAATATGCGCGCTCCTACGATAGGGCAGCGTTGTGCGCTGCAACGCCAGTCATGGATGTGGTCCCTGTGTATGAGATGCAGCTTCATTGCGATCACCAACGTTACAAATCTATGTACATTGGTAGTAGCAGTTTAACCAATTTTTTAGAGAAATCTACGCCCAGCAGTGAAATTATTGTAGCTCACCGTCTGTAAACCATTTCATCAAATTTTCGACATTGTTCTTCTGTGCCAATTCCAATTTATTAAACGAATGCTCCATTTGTGTCCGAGCTCAAAATAAGTTTTCAGTCCGCCTGCACTAGAATGGAATTTCACTTCAACAATTTTGTCAACGCTTCGACTCCAACGGTTAATCTTCTAAATAATTTTAAAGGAACATTACATTCGCACAGATTTAATGGGATAAATAAAATTACGTACACACTTTTACAGAAATTTTGCTTTAAATTACCGAAAAAAACTTTGCCAAATAGAATCACAAAATAATGTTGCACAACGTCACTTGTCAAAACTTGTCATATTAAGATGTATGAGTTTTCTTATAAGGAGTTTCTAACCGGGGGCGACCATATCATTATAAAAATATAAGACCACTGTTGAATAAATATTTAATTTCTTGCTGAAGTACTACAAGTCACAAAATTTGGATAAAACTTTTTTATATCTACTTTCATTGACCTACCTAAATAGGTGAATGCCTACTTTATTTATAAGAAATTTTCACAAATTTTACTGAAAAACACCGGTTTACTCCGACTATAGTGCACCACATCGGCCAAAATCCGACGAAGGTTCTTCGACGTGCAGGCTTCCTTCCCCTTCAAGGTTTCCTTCACTGAAAACCGACAATTTTGAACTACTTATGTTTCCAAAAAACTCGCCAACGACTTGGACTTAAAAAAAAACATGTCGCCTGTTCATTACTAGAGAAACGCAATCTTCTCTAATAACTCCACCAAATGAACAACACAACCAGAACCAATTCTGAAAAGTTCCCTTTCCCTTTAGTACTTCCACTGGCAGTCCTCTGGTAGAGTAACTGCCTCCGTGGCCGAACGGTTACCATACCGGACTGCCACGCAGAGATCCCCGGGTTCGATTCCCGGGCCGGGAGAAATATTTGTACGGCCTACATTTATTTCTCTCGTGAGTTTGGGTGTAATTTGTGGTTGTCTATGTGTGTGTCCATGGCACCCGCGACACAGGGTTTCCCTAGTGCGGGGCTATGTTGAGTGTGTGCGTTATTATTATTATTATTATTATTATTATAGTCGCCACTACCAGTACCCCATAACGTAATAAAAGAGGTCGAAGTGATCTTAAAAAAATGATTATCGAACTGTGTTTCTATTCAATATCTTGGGTCCTGACTCGTCTCATGGCCTCAACTTGAGCTCCGTTGAACTACATCGGCGGTGGTTGCCGCTTCGATCTGGGACGGCGGCGAGATTGGACTTGTCGGCGCAGACTGTGACAGTTTGAATTGAGCTAGAATGTGGACAGCCAATAACGTCATACAATCGCACCCATTCCCCGTGAATACCCGAATAACAACAAAATTACGAAGATTAGTTTCTTAAATTGGTCATCAAATGGACGGCTCTCCTAACGCAGCAATTGCTGTGACCAAAGTTAAAAACTAAGGAACAAAGCAAAAACTTACAGCATAACCGCGAGCACATTGTTCCTTTGGTGTTAATCTTAATAAATAGTTAATTTGTAGCAAGACTTCTGTTTCGTTTCCTCTTTATTTATCTAATCCTTAGAGGACAGAAAAAAAAAGAAATCTAATCTCAGACGCGACAACACAAAATATGACAAATAGGTCTAGCCTAGAACATTTATTTAAGTATCTAAGGGTTGTCTATGCGTAAAACGCGAATATTATTTGTCTATGGTACTATTCATTTCTGGATTTCTGGGAATCTGAGTAATCTATCTGTGCAATAATTGAGTACCCCAGGAACCACATTTCCTCTTAGTTATTCCTGGGTTATTCTCTGTAAACTCGCCTTTGTACAACAATATTTTAAACTGTTGTTAACATTTATCATTTGTTTGTGGTACTACATTGTAATGTTTAAAATGCCGTTAAAAACCGTAACCGTACAAATTGAACGGCTTGGTGCCTCTCCCGACTATTTTTATTCTTCGTGTAAAATATATTGAACAAGTAGGACCGGCTCAATCCCCTGGTAGATGTGCGCACAGCAACAACTGTGAACAACCTAGAAACATAAACATGTATGGGAACCTTTTAATGTTGTGTGTTTGTTTCAAACTTTATTTTTATACAATTAAGTGACAGACGAACAAGTAGTTGTGCGAATGATGGTGTGTTACACTCCTGTCCATAACAGTTGCAGTGCCACTCAGAGCTTTAAATCGTAAAGGTTACCTTTGAGACATAAGTTATCAAGTCTCATGTGCCAGTAATTTCACCAGCAGCCTTACCATGTCCTGGCGGAGGTCTGTAACTACCTACGGCGCATCCCCCATGGAGTCACTGGAGCTGTGACTCCATAGCTTGAGTTTAAGGAAATTAACACTCTTACACTAGCCTCTCAGTACATTTATGAAAATGTAATTTATGTTAAGAGGAATAGTAATTTCTTTACGAAAAATAGTGACAGACATAACATTAATACGAGGAATATAATCTCAGTACAGAGTACTAAAAAAAACTGACCTCAAAAGTACGTGGAATTACGTCTATTTGCTAAGTTTTATTGAAATATCCCCTAGTTCGCCACTATACAGGACTTGATACTGGAAATAATAAAAATCGGTTCTCGGAAGCGGAAAACGCCTTGAATTGAAGAAATAGCAAAATCAACCATTAAAATAATTGCTCCTAAATTAGGCGCTATCTATAAAAATGAATCTTCATGCGTGAACAGCCACCCTTAGAGGTGGATGATTTTCTTCTAAATAAAATGAGACCACTATGGAAGAACCCCCTTTTCAACAACAAAAGAATCATGAAAATCGGTTCACAAATACCGGATTTATCGCGTAACATACATATAAAAAAACATACAGTCGAATTGAGAACCTCCTTCTTTTTTGAAGTCGGTTAAAAAATAAACTAGCTGTTCTTAATAGCCGTCTTCACAAAGTCACAAATTCATTTAAGGGGCACGCGTATACGCTTCTATAACAAGATTCCAGTTTAGGTTAGGTTAAAAAAGGTTTGGATGTATTAGGGTTACCCAGGTACAGGGGTCTCTGCCTGGGTGGACCGTATTTTTCCCCCATGTTCGTGGGATTAGAATGGATAAATGTACTAATAAACCGTTTAAAACCTTTGATGACGTGTCCGAGAAGGACGGAGTTGATGTAGTGTCCGCGAAGGACGGAGTATGTGTAGGAACTTTGTTCGGAGAGCATGATGACCGTGGAGTCTGGTGATGGGGACAATCCACGATCAAAACTTTGGGCGGATAGACGAAAGCGTCCCCGCCCCGAGGTGGGCCGGTCGGGATCTGAGAGTGCTTCAAGCGATGAAGCAACTCCCGCTGCGAAAGTGACCGCTACTAGGAGAGGACGAGGTCGGCCTCCTACAACAGGCCAATCAATATGTCGGCCTTGCCAAGGCGAAGGCCGAGTTTGTAAAGGCCAAGCGTGCCGAGTCAGAGTTAGAAGCTGAAGAAGAGGTGGCACGGCTGTTACAGAAGTCCAGAGCTACAGTCGAGAAGGCAAGACGCCCATCGGAGGCTCCGTCCGGTCAAGAGGGCGAAATGACAGCAATAGACTTGCATCAGCGCGTCAAAGTAGGGGTGGCGGTGATCGAAAAGGTTGCTGCCAAATCTAGTAATCTTAAGGGGACGTTCCAACGAGCACTAAAGGATGCTGCGGTCTCTATTAAGGAAGCTGTGGCGGAACTTAGCGGACGTTCCGTCTCCGATGAGACAGTAAGACTGCAAGCGGACAATGCCCGTTTACAGTCTGAGATGGCTCAGCTCCGAAAGGAGTTATCAGAGATGAGAGACGAGATGCGGAAGATGCGCCTAGAGGACAGGGCATCAATAGCACCCTCAGGAACAGCGACGTCTCTGGACGTTGAATCTCTGACGCGCAATGTCATGGTCCAGGTGGGGACTATGCTCAATGCGCGTCTAGACTCGCTCCGAGATCGGTTGCTGCCTGAGAAGCGTCTACGGCCCACACTTGCCGCTGATTCGAGGATAATAAATGACTCCCAAACTTCCGCTCCGGTTACATACGCACGAGTGGTTGCGGGGAAACCACCCGCCGAAAAAATGGCGGCGGCTAAACCATCGGCTCAACCGACTTCTCTGGTCGAGCCTACGGAAGGAAAAAAGAAAACGAAGAAAAAAAGAGGGAAAAAGAAAACGCCAGCAGCCGCCAAGTCCGCTTCTTCCAACAAGGAACCATCAGGCCCTAAGGCCAAATCTACGGATGAGGGTTGGGTGAAAGTGGGTAAGCGAGGCAAGGCAGCGGCTAAGCCAAAGCCGTCACAGTCGCAGCCGCAGCCACCCAAGCTCCGCCCTCCAAGCTCCACGGCCGTCGTAATAACGATACAGCCAGGAGCAGAGGAGAGAGGAGTTACGTATGCGTCAGTTCTTGCTGAAGCCAGAACCAAAATCGATTTGGGCAGCCTTGGCATTGAGTCGCTCCGCTTTCGAAAGGCAATTACGGGTGGGCGTATCCTGGAAGTGCCTGGGGCGACTAGTGGAGAAAAGGCGGACTCACTCGCTGCCAAACTAAAGGAGGCATTTAAAGAAGAGGACATACGGGTCACTAGGCCAACCAAATGTGTAGAGTTGCGCATAACGGGCCTGGATGACTCAGTTTCTTCAAACGATGTTGCGATTGCTGTCGCCCGAGTTGGAGAATGCTCAACAGAAGGCGTAGGTGTGGGTGAGATCCGGTTGGATCGAAGGGGGCTTGGCACGGCGTGGGTGCGTTGTCCAATTGCCGCTGCCAAAAAAGTTGAACAAGGTGGTAGATTGCAAGTTGGTTGGGTCTCTGCACAAGTGAAAGTGCTGCAGCAGCAACCCATGACCTGCTACCGATGCCTTGAAAAGGGACATGTCAGAGGGCAGTGCAAATCAACGGTAGACCGCAGCGATCTGTGCTATCGCTGCGGGAAACCTGGGCACAAGTCTGCAGACTGCTCTGCTGAGCCGCATTGTGCTCTTTGCGAAGCGGCGAAGAAACCTGCGGCTCACAAACTTGGAAGCAGTGTCTGTACCGCGTCTGCCAGTAAAAAAGGGAGAGGTATTGCTAGTGGAGCTAAAACTCAACAGCAAACTGCTTGCCCCGTAGACGGGGATATGGAGGTGGAGGAAATCAGCCCCAAATAAATATGACCCTCCAAATTCTGCAGGCGAATGTCAACCACTGCGCCAGAGCTCAGGATCTGTTGGTCCAGAGCATGGCGGAGTGGTTGATCCACGTGGCAGTGGTTGCGGAACCATACTTTGTCTCTTCACGGCCAGATTGGGTTAGTGACAACAATGAGAAAGTAGTCCTAATCTCTCAAGGAGCCGCAGGTTCCCCGCCCTTCGAAAATGTAGCAAAGGGTACGGGATACGTATCGGCTCTGTTGGGAGAAATAGTTGTGGTGGGGGTATACTTCTCTCCGAATAGGAACCTCTCGGACTTTGAGGTGTTCCTGGCGGAATTAGGTGCTTTTATCGGTAGAAGTCAACCTCACCCAGTGCTAGTTTTGGGGGATTTCAACTCCAAGTCAACAGCCTGGGGTTGCCCCTCGACTGACGCGCGTGGCGAGGTTCTGGAGGACTGGGCCCTTTCGACTGGACTCATCGTCCTCAATCGAGGTTCGATAAATACTTGTGTGCGAAGACAGGGCGGGTCCATAGTAGACATCTCATTTGCTAGCCCAGCTCTGGCGCGTCGCGTTCGGAGTTGGAAAGTCCTAGAAGAGGTGGAGACATTATCGGACCACCGTTATATCCGGTTTGATGTCTCCGCTCAGACGCCTAGCATTCCTGCCCCACAGCCCTTATGTGAGGTTGGTCCCCGTTGGGCGGTCAAGAGCCTAGAACGCGATCTGTTGGTAGAAGCTTCCATAGTCCAAGCCTGGGTAGACGCACCTGAAAGGCCCGAGAATATAGAAGATGAAGCAGAGTGGTTCCGCGGAGCGATGACGCAGATCTGTGATGCAGCGATGCGCCGAGTCAAACCCAGATTTCCATCTCGTCAGACGTACTGGTGGTCTGCGGAGATCGCGCAACTTCGCGCCGCTTGCGTGACTGCAAGACGGCAGTACTCCAGATACCGGAGGAGACGACGACGCTGCCAAAACGTTGAAGACCAGTTATATGAGTCTTACAGAGCGACCAAGAAGGCTCTACAACTGGCCATCGCAGAAGCGAAAGCTCGAGCCAAAGAAGAGTTGCTGGGGACCTTGGACAGCGATCCGTGGGGTCGCCCCTACCTGATGGTTCGGGGTAAACTTCGTGCATGGACCCCTCCATTAACACAAACCCTCAGACACCAATTCCTTCAAGACGTTGTGGCAGCTCTATTCCCTTCTAGAGCGGAACATATGCCCCCCACGATGGCGTCAATCGCAGGCACACCTGTGGCGGACATAGAGGCTCCAGAAGTGACTACAACAGAGTTAGAGGTGGCGATGATGCGACCTCGCACTAAAAAAGTCTCTCCAGGACCAGATGGCATTCCAGGCCGCGCTTGGGTTCTGGCCCATGAGGCCTTGGAGTCCAGACTTCGCGGTCTCTACAGTGCGTGTCTGGAACGGTCACAATATCCACTTCAGTGGAAAATAGGGAGGCTGTTTCTGTTAAAGAAGGAGGGACGACCTGCTGAATCACCGTCTGCCTATCGCCCTATAGTACTGCTTGACGAGGTGGGCAAGCTTTTTGAGCGTATTATTGCCGCTCGCCTCGTGAAACACCTAATGTCGGAGGGGCCAGATCTGTCGGAAAACCAATTTGGTTTCCGCTATAATCGTTCAACAGTCGATGCGGTACTGCGAGTTAGGGCCCTTGCGGAGGAGGCTGTGTCCCGGGGTGAAGTAGTATTGGCGGTGTCTTTGGACATCGCCAGTGCTTTTAACTCCTTACCCTGGAGTTGTATCAGGGAGGCTCTCGCCTACCACCGAGTGCCCCGCTACCTCTGCCGTATAGTTACAGACTACCTATCTGCCAGGAAGATAATATTTCAGACGCAGACTGGGAGTGGTCAGCGCGACATGTCGTGCGGTGTTCCACAGGGCTCGGTTCTCGGGCCGCTCCTGTGGAACATCGGGTTTGACTGGGTGCTTCGCGGGGCGAATCTCCCTGGCGTCAGCATAATTTGTTACGCTGATGACACCCTAGTAACAGCTCGAGGGAAAACCCGCCGCGAAACAGCCATACTCGCTACTGCTGGAGTAGCACATACTGTTGCGCGGATTCGGCGCTTGGGACTGGAGGTAGCCCTAAATAAATCTGAGGCTTTGTACTTTCACGGGTCTCGGAACGCGCCGCCTTCAGGTTCTCATATAATGGTGGGGGGTGTTTGAATTGATGTCAAGTCGACAATAAAATACCTGGGGCTTGTCCTTGACGGCCGATGGGATTTTGGCGCCCACTTCCGGATGTTGGTGCCAAAACTGATGGGAACAGCAAGTGCTTTGGCGAGGCTCCTCCCTAACTTGGGAGGGCCGAACACAGCCTGCCGGAAACTGTACATGGGAGTCGTACGATCGATGGCGCTGTACGGGGCACCGGTGTGGACGGAAGCCCTGACGCGGCGGAACATTACCATGATAAGAAGACCACAGCGAGCGATGGCCGTGAGGGTGATCCGGGGCTACCGTACAGTTTCGTTTGAGGCTGCTTGTGTATTGGCTTGCTCACCTTCGTGGGAACTCGACGCAAGAGCCCTTGCCTCGGTTTATTTCTGGCGCAAGGAAGTGCTGCAACGAGGCGACCGACTTGCTCCACGGGAAGTGATGGGTCATCGGGCACAGGTATACCGGAGGTTGGTATCAGACTGGGAGGAGTCACTCACGAACCCCAGTGCTGGACATAAGACAATTGAGGTGGTTCTCCCAGTTCTCAATAAGTGGCTGGAGAGAAAACACGGAACTCTCACCTTCCGGCTGACGCAGGTACTCTCGGGACATGGTTGTTTTGGGAAGTACCTGTGTCGTATAGCTGGAAGAGAGCTCACGACGGAGTGCCATCACTGTGATGCGTGCTCCGAGGACACGTCACGGCACACCGTTGAAGAGTGCCCAGCGTGGACGGAGCCGCGCCATGACCTAATGGCAGCAGTAGGCAGCGACCTCTCCCTCCCGACCTTGGTCAATGCTATGGTCGGTAGCGAAAAGTCGTGGGAAGCGGTGGTTTCCTTCTGCGAAACTGTAATTTCGCAGAAGGAGTCTTCGGAACGTGAGAGGGAGATATCCACCTCTCACTCTACCCGAAGCAGGCGGACGGGGCGCAGGAGGTTGCGCGATGACCTCCAGCCCCCGTAAGATGGGCCCATGAGCGGCAGTCTTAGGGGAGACTGCTGCTCGTTACTGGCGGGCCCGAGATGGCGGCGTTCGTGTTCCACGTCTGCCTCTCAAAACGGCTGACTAGGGAGGTGACATCCCTTACTGGATAGCGAGACGGGGTTTTGACTTTCAGTCGAAGTCAGGTTTTAGTCGGTAGGAGTCCGACATAACCCTTCGTCTCCCCCGGGCGGAGGGTATCCATGAGGATTTCCTGACGTAAAAAAAAAAAAAAGGTTAGGTTAGGTTAGGTTAGGTAGGTTAGGTTAGGTTAGGTAGGTTAGGTTAGGTTAGGTT